AGCTCACCGAGCTATTTTCCAAGGATACTGGTGGCCCTACATATAGAAAGATGTTCAACAGTATGTCAGACAGTGCGAGAAGTGTCAAAAATTCTCACAAATACCGAGAAAACCATCACAAGAACTACTTCTATTGGCGTGCCCATGGCCATTTACACAATAGGGGCTAGATATTGTGAGACCATTACCTCGGGCCCCTGGAAATAAGAAGTTTCTCCTCGGTGCAACTAATTATTTCTCAAAGTGGGTGAAAGTTGAGCCCCTAGCTTACATCAGAGATACTGATACAAGGAAGTTCGTTTGGAGGAACATTATCACTAGATTCAGAATCCCTAATGCACTCATCTCTGATAATGGAACTCAGTTTGATAGTGGTCCCTTCAAAACTTTCTGCCAATAGTATAAAATTTGGAACCACTATTCGACCCTGACTTATCCTCAGAGTAATGGACAAGTGGAGATTTTCAACAAGATAATACTAGACGGTATTAAGAAGAGGTTGGAGGATGCCAAAGGAAGGTGGGTTGAAGAATTGCGAGTGTACTGTGGACGTACCGAACCACACCTCGACGCTCAACTGGAGAAACCTTATTTGCTTTAGCCTATGGGATGGAGACGGTGATTCCATTAGAAGTCTATTTGCTGACCTTAAGAACCGAGTTGGTTATAAACAAATGTAACGATGCTGCCATCACTCGGGACCAAGATTTAGCAGAGGAGAGAAGAGAGCAAACAACAATACAGATGACTTCTTATCGGCAACAGATGTCTCGGGCCTACCACAAGAAAGTTAATCCTTGGGTTTTCACCCTTGGAGACTTAGTCTTGAGGCGCATTCTGAGCTCAGCTAAGAACCCAACATATGGAAAGCTCAAGCCCAATTGGGAAGGGCTATACCGAGTAGCCCGAGTAGGAGGAAATGGGTACTATAAGCTAGAGACTTTGGACCATAGAATGGTGCCACATCCCTAGATTGCTGCAAATCTAAGAAAGTTCTATTTCTGAAAAATGTCTTTTCAAAAATAGAACTTCGAAGTACCTTTGAAAACGTAAGGGTGTTTCTTATCTTGAAAAACTAGCAAGATCACTCTTACTAATGTATTGATGAACAAAAGTTATGGAAGTTTTCAATACACATCTTTCTGTTCCTTATCATCAAAAAATGTCCTACTGCTAAGGTAGAGAGGCAAGAAACCCTGATAGAGGTATATATTTAAATCAGGCGCAGCCACCCGATCAGATCCAGTCTCTCAGCTAGGCATGACGATGTAAGCTAATTTGGATGGATTTGAATCCGATTAGATCGACGGGTCGGTGTGAAGTAGAAAAGTCACTGAAAGCAATCTAAAATGAAAATTAGAGGCTAACTCTACTAGATGACCGAGCTCATTGAAGAAGGGGCCGAGCCAAGGCCATAACTTCGAGAGTAAGAATTTTTTCTAATTATTTCGAGGTCTCTGTTGAGAGACCAACCTCTTTGAAGAGGGGCTAAGCAAGGGCCACAGCTTCGAGAGTCTAAGAACTTTTTAAGTATTTCAAGGTCTCTGTTGAGAGATCGAGTTCTTTGAAAGGGCCGAGCAAAAGCCACAACTTCGAGAATCTAAGAATTTTTTCTTAGTATTTCAAGGTCCATATTGAAAGACCGAGCTCTTTTGAAGAAAAGTCGAACAAAGGCCTCAAACTTTGAAAGTCAAGTTTTTTCAAATATTCAAAATTAATCACAGAAAATGAAAGGTTAAAAATCATTTTTTCATTTAAGCTTCAAAAGATTACAAGATCATCTAAATAGGATCTTTTGAACATATACATCAAAAAAGCACAAAAATCTTCCAAGTCTTGTTTAGGAAGCAAGAGGCGGGGAGGAGCTTGGTAGGGAATGCCTAGAAAAAAAGTTTAGAAGAATATGGAACTCCAGCAGCAATTAGAGCGCCATGTCAGCCCTTGCTAAAGTATGCATCCTGAAGTTGAGGGATCTGCAAATTCAATTCATTTTCCGCCTTCTCAACTCCTTCGTCATATGCAACATCTTCTCTCTCCTTTGCCTCAACCTTGTACTATTCAAACTCCTTCAGAAGACTAGTGTAATCGAGCTGGGATTGAGAGAGTTCTACGTTCACCTCATGTTCAGAATCTTTTAGTTGCCCATTCTTGGTCCGAAGCTTTTGGTTCTCCTCGGTCAGGCTTTGATTTTGAGCCTGCAGAACCATAGCCTCTTCATAGATTTTGGCATACTCTTCGTCTACAAACTTTTTCTTGGCTAAGGCTAAGGCTCGGGCTTGGATGACATCTTTTATAGCCTTATCTTTCTTGGCTATCCTAGCCCCCACCTTGTGAACTTTTTTGCAGACCCTTAAAATTGAAAAGAGGAAAAACTTAGACAATTTATGAAGAAAGAAGAAAAGGCCTAAAGGAACAAATCTTACAGAGACCATGTGTTGAATAGCCTGGCAGGACATTTTGTCGTCTGTTAAAGCTTCGTTCGTAGCCAGGTCTCGAGGCAGAATGACTCCTCTGGCGACCCCCACCACAACGTTAAAGTCTTCGATAGCTCTTTTATAGTGATCTCTCTCCTTTTGGCCTTGAGGATAGGTCGAAAATGAGGATTAACTGGCTTTAGGGAAAGACTTGTTTCAGACTCGGCAATTCTTCGCCTTTTAGGGGCAGGTTCCTCAACAAGTTCAAAAATTGAGTCATTTTGATCAGGAGAATGAATAGAATGAGGATCTAATTCAATATGAATTGATGTTTCAGCGGCTCGAGCGAAGTTTGCTAGGTCGCTGATTGGCGGAATTGCATTGTCTGGCTCGGGAAGAACAATTTCTGTAGGAATCTTGATTGCATATTCTTCTTCTCGAACAGTGATCAAAGGAGCTTAAGGATCAAGTGGCATGGACTGTTCGACATTTTGGGTCAGTTTGACAGTTGATAAAAAGTCTAAATTCTTCACCGTTCTTCTTCCAGAAATTGCAAGTGAAGACCTCTTACGAGATCGGGGAGTCTGTTCCCAAGTTGTCTGAATGGCCTCCCGATCTGCGGCAAGAATAGCATTGGGACGATTCAGCACGACTATGAAGAATGTATAGGTCGGCGTATACCTAAGCAGGGTATGAGCAGCTCGACAGAACAAAGACTCATTGTAGCCCCAAACTATTATGAGTTCACCCATTTTCACAGAAGACTTAAGAATTCTACCCTTCACAGTATTGCCTTCAAACAAAAGAAAGCTTATGTCAGAAAGGAGTGGACAAACAAGCCAATGTAGAAGAGTAAAAAATATAGATACCTGGAGTGCCTTCTTCGTAAGGGCAACGATAGGATGGAACAACACCAGCGGCATACTCCCAATTTTCAGAAACAAAGACAATATCGTTCTCATGACCTTTGTTAGTAGCTGGGAGATGAGTCACCAAGTAACAGTCCTTCTTCCTCACCGCCAGATAGTAGTTGTCTCCAGTCAGTTTGATGATGTAGCAGTATAAAATCTCCTATAAACCAAGACTCAAGCCCAGAAGCTTGTTCACAGCAGCTACCCCCATCACTATCCTGAAGAAGTTGGGGCAGCATTGGATGGGGCAGAGTTTAGTTGCAGAAAGTACCCAGAGAAGGAGAAGGTCCAGAGGGAATCGGACTTCACCCTCAGTGATCACTCGAGTATGAATGAGAATGCTTTCTCTTGTGCCTATCAGAGGTTCGTCTTTTCTAGCGACTCTTACGTCAACTTCATCTGGAATATTGTATTTAACTTTGAAAGCAGGAGCTTCAGGAGAAGTAAGAGGGGCCATGGTAGAAGATGACGAAGACAAAAGAAAAGAAGTCAAGGAGTTCGAAAAGACAGTAAAGAATGAATGAAAGAGGTTACCTATAAAAGAGGGAATTCCAAAAGGCTATTTAAATACCAAGCATGTCGCCAAAACAAGGGGAAATGTGACAAGTATGCGCAATGATGATTGAAAAGACATAAAACAGGTGACAGACGAAAGACGTCTATCAGACATTTTTTTGGGGGCAAATGAAAGGGGTGGTTCCCTTTATTGTATATGTTATGACATTAAATGAGCTCATGTGAGTGACAAAACAAGGCACGTGATGGAGACATCAGACACTCAATAGTCCGGAGCAGAGCTGTTTGATGAGTTCGGTAAGAAACGAAAGAGGTCAATCCTCATTGCGACCAAGCTGTTTCAACAGTCAAACAAAGAGCAAAAGATTTGCCTATAACTCAGGCATCCTAGATAAGCTAATGGGCTTAATGATAGGCCAGGCTAAGGGAATTGCTAGAGGGATTTCAACAACTTCCCAAACAGAGTCACCTAATTGAAGGAAGGTATGTCACCTTGAATCAAAAATTATGGAAACCCTAATTGAACAGGGATCTATAAAAAGCACAAGGAGCCAGAGTGAAAGGTATGCTGAACTCTCATTGTCTTCTTACAATTGTTTCAGTTTCATTACTCACTTAAGCATCGAAGTGCCTTCAATTGAAACACTTCGATCTTGGACAGTTTGTTCATTTTACAGGAAGCAAAGACATGAGAATTAGGTTCAGAGCTCACTCTTATCAAAAATGTTCATTTTTCATTATTGAAGGAGGTGTCCTCAATTTTTACCTCTTACAATAAGAAAAAAAAAAGAAGATAAAGTTTCATCTAATTGAAAGAAGTTCATGTCTGATTATAAATATCATAGTCGATCATAAGATTTTCTCTGTATAATTTTTTTTATGAGTTGTAATTTAATATTTCAAAATTATAACTTTTTTTTTATGATTGATTCTAATATTTTAAAATCGATCATAAATTTTTTGCAATTTTTGGTACGGTGTTAATAGCTGTCTTTTTTTCGTATTATATAACAGTACAGTAGTAATAGAATAACTCCGAACAGTACCAAGAGTCGCAGCTGCCAAATATGTCCTTACTTGCACGTGCCGCCTATATAATTACCACGTCAGTTACATGATGACGAAAATCAGTATTCATATAGATCAGAAGATTATGGCCAAGAGAAGCTCATTACGATAGTGGTGGTACACAATTCCAAGCTACAAACTTTACTCAGAGAGAGAGAGGTTTTGTGCAAGCCTATCAGCTACTTTCAACTCGGTTCTCTCATTTTGCCACCAGAGAAACCAAATGGGGGAGGTCCTAAACTCCAAATCTTCACTCAAATTCAACCATTTTTTGTTTCTCTCTCTTGTTTCTATGTACTGACATGGTAATGTTTGGTGGAGTTTTCAGGAACAGAAGAAACTAGAGGAAAAGAATCCGGAGGAAAAGAAACCAGAGGAAGGGAAAAAACCAGGGGAAGAGAAAAGAGAAGACCCAAAATCCGAAAAACCAAGCGACGGAAAGGGAGAAGAGAAAAAAGGAGAGGAACCCAAGGATGGAAAAGATTCCAAAGACCCACCACCTCCTCCTCCTCCTCAAGAGATTGTTCTCAGAGTCTTCATGCATTGCGAAGGTTGCGCCAGAAAAGTCCGTCGATGCCTCAAAGGGTTCGAAGGTTTGAACTCTGTTCTGCAATATTTTTGGTCTATGGCCTCTCTCTCTCTCTCTGTCTCTCTCTATCTAAACCATTTTTGGTTTTCAGGAGTTGAGGATGTTGAGACGGATTGCAAGACGCATAAGGTCGTTGTGAAGGGAGAAAAGGCAGATCCATTGAAGGTACTTGAGAGAGTACAGAAAAAGAGTCACCGACAGGTTGAGCTTCTCACTCCGATCCCGAAACCGCCGGCCGACGAACCCAAAAAAGTTGAAGAGAAAGAAATTGCCAAACCCGAACAAAAAACAGAGGAGGTTTTTGTAATTTCTTGTGTATTTATTTGGGATTTTTTAAAAAATAATTTTGGGGGGTTTTCTTATGAATTTGTTTGTTGGTGGGGTTGTTGAGGTCATGGTTTTGTTGTGTTTCAGCCTCAGGTGATTACAGCGGTTTTGAAAGTCCACATGCATTGTGAGGCTTGTTCGCAAGTAATCAAGAAACGTATAGAAAGAATGAAAGGTAAAAAAAAAATTTGTTTTTTTCCTTTATTTTTTATTCACGAGATTCTTCATATGCTCGGTAATCTATTGGTTTCAATTGGGTTTAAACAATTTCTCTTAAGCCCAAGGAAGCTAAAGTGGTAACAGAAGGTTGCACGGATTTATAATATTCTAGTCGACTTAAAATTGGATAGGGGAGTAATACGCATGAGTTCGTCCGAACACTTCAACCATTGAAAAAAAAAAAAATCTCTTGCTACCCTTTTTAGCTGTATTTACAGTCCCAAACACCCAACTATTTTCTTTTCTGTTTGAATCTCTAAAATAATAGAGTTTTTTGATTCTATTTTCCCAATCTTTATATTCTTTAAGTGGAATAAAATAATTTTTTTTTTGAACTCTGTCTTGGTGTAATAAAATATTGAAGTCTTTAGATTCTGCTGGACTCTGTCAAAATTCAAGTCAATTCAGTCTTCTTTAATTTCAATTTAATGCCAGATTTTACTTAAAATATTACACTCCCATCAATACCCAATTCCAAAAAATTTCCACCAAAAACTCCAATCTTTTTAAATTGATGTTTGAACCCAGATGGGTGGTAGAGAAGGCTAGTGTTTAAGACTTAAGACTATAGAGTAACATAAATTCAGACGTCTTTTGAGTTAAAATTTCACTGGTAATTGATGGTATAAAGGGTTTAGATATTAGATTAACATTAGGTTCCTTCATATTATTTTTTTCATTCAGGTGTTGAGAGTGCAGAGCCAGATCTAAAGAGCTCACAAGTGACAGTGAAAGGGGCGTTGGAGCCACAAAATCTGGTGGAATACATACACAAGAGAACAGGGAAGCAGGCAGTGATTGTGAAGGTAGACCCAGAGAAGAAAGAGGGAGAAGATAAAGCCAAAGAAGAGAAAAAAGGAGAAGAAAAGGATGACAAGAAAGTTGAAGAAGAGAGCAAAGAGAAGAAGAAGGAAGCCATTGAAGAAGCTGCAAAAGCAGCAGCAGCAGCAGCAGCGGCAGAGGGAGAAGAACCAGAGCCCATAATTGAGCTAAAAAAGAATGAATATCGCAACTACTACCCACACAACTTCCAGCTCTATCATCAAGGTTTTACCCAAGAATATTATGCATTCCCCCCTCCTCCTCCTCAAATCTACATTGATGGAAACCCTAATGCATACCCTCCTCAAATCTTCAGTGATGAAAACCCTAATGCATACCATCCTCAAATCTTCAGTGATGAAAACCCTAATGCATGCTCAGTTATGTAAATTTTGAGGAATCTTAGGGGTGCAATGGGGAATTTTGGGTTGTGGGGTGGCACATGGGTAATGTCCATGGCTGTTTTCTTCTTCAGACCTTTGTTGTGCTCTGCATGTGGCTATGTTTGGGGCTCTAGGTGGGAAAGCTGTGTTATTTTGTGAGGTTTTTGTACTTTTTTGGTCTTATGTATTATAATCTCTGTCACATACTATAAAACAACAGTGCATTAAGGGTATATAAAAATGCTTAAGATGTTGTACATATTTTTGTTCTGTTTAGGCCTATCAAAGGATCCATTTAACATTGGAATAATCCAATACGATTATCAGAGGGATTAGATTTTGACAATTCTTAAGACCAAGTATAGAGAATTATATCTTGATATCAAATCAATTTGATCGACTAAGCTCTCAATTTTATCTTAGGTGTAAACAACATAAGCTTACTTTGGATTTGAAATCTGTAAAAAATGATTTTACAAATTCGTATTTGGATAATCGGTTAAAAATAACAATTGAAATTGAATTTATAGTTGACTAATTGGATTCTAAAATTCCTAAGTTCCGAGTTGCAACGCTTAGGATAGGTTGAATATTTTTATGTTGGGAACTGCTTCAGCAAGTGGGGTTGTCTGTTTGGTAAATTTGATAGAGGACAAAGAAATCCAATTAAATGATGAAAGAGGTTAAAACTTGATAGAGGAGGACAGAGAACTCCACCAGGACAGTGGCTGGTAGGTGAAAAGTACGGAGAGAGAATTTTTAGCGCCACGGTGAATTTCTTAGTGGATTTGGCAGGGAATTGTGAGTAGGTGAAGGGAAATATATCATTTTCCTGTTTGATGGTCACATCAATGGTGGTTGGTCCTACCTTCTATTTTCTTTGCTGAATTCTAATCCTAACTGAACTAACTGCAACAGGATTTAGAATACAATACCTAATACGTCACTAATAAGACAATAAAGTCAATATCTTGCATGTAGGATGGTGGGTAAGTATATCAGACTTTGATTTGAATATAAATTCGATTAATCGGATATAAGTTAATATTTTTGATCAGTACTTACAACCTGCATCTATCATATAACAATTTATTGGTTTGAATTTTGGATACATTAATGTCCGACCTAATTTTAATTTCTAATTTTCAAGAAAAAAAAATTTTGATCAAAAAGAGGGAGAAAGAGGAATGACTAGTAGATAGTAACTTTTATTGGACGTGACTATGAGGGTATCTCCCACTGTAGAATATTTGGTTTGAACCATAGTAACTAACTCTAAAGTGTAGTGCATCACCACAGAACCATTAAAGTGAAGCAGCAAATCGCATTACTTCTATAAATCGAACTTTATTTGATTACATGAGAGTCAAGAAAGACCCTAAACAAGAACAACTTATCACTAGACCACCAACTTAAGTAATATATATTCAACAAATTTAGACACAAAACAATAAAACCTACACAGTAAAAATGTAATCAAGCCTAGGGCTATTGTTTGGTGTAACATCCCATTGATGAATTGGCTATCACTGCTCTCCCCTTCTCAAATCTTTTGATAATGCAATTTCATGTTCCAAAAGTTACCCCCAATCCTTTAAACCTACTTTTGGTGATGGCTTATCAACCATAATAGTAAAGTATGTTGGCCTTGCAATAGAAATTGGACTGTTGAATAGTAGTATGAACCTTTGATTTTCAACGATCACTACAACAAATTTGTTTTAGTGGTAGTGCCATCAGGTCTTTCCTATTCACATGCCTAGTCACATGAATCCCCAGTACATGTTCTCATCAGTGGGGGACAAAGAGAGATGATAGAAAAATAAAAAATTTTGCAAGGTTTTTGGATTAGTCTTGGGTATGGACAAAACTTCTTGTTATTATATTAAAAAATAATTTGTAATTATAGTCTTCGGTTGAAGTACATTATTGATAATGAAAATAATAAAGTAAAGAGAAATAATAACATAAGAAACTTTATAAATGTCGCATTCTCATGGATGAAAAAATAAGGTATAGTATCAAAAAATAATTTTATAGTACTATAATTGAACATTAAGTTGTAACCCTAAAATTGGTTAGAGAAATTGCACTGAGAGAGAAAAGTTTGGCATGTCCACGTACCAAGGGACGTGACAACATGGAATGGATTGATTCCTACGGAGAACTAGGGGTAGTAAACAAAATGAGCTATTTAAACTAGGCTCGAAATCAATTTGTTTTAAAATTGATTCATCTGATGAATGAATCAAGTTTAAGTGCATTCTTAAGATTGTCGAGTAAGTGAGTTTAGTACGAACTCAACTTGATAAGTTAATTGGTATCCTGAGACATAATACAAAATGTCCAAGCTATGATCAAGATCAGCTTGGTAAAATTGCCCATTTATAACATCAAGAATAACATTCTCTCTCTCTCTCTCTCTCTCTCTCTCTCTCTCTCTCTCTCTCTCTAAGATGGCAAGGTCGGGTCATGCATTGCCTTTACAAAGTGCATGTCGAAGGCTGCAAGCCCATTGTCATGCCTGTCTGATTCAACAGTCAATAATTTGCTTTCAAATTGGATCATGAATTGGATACCTCTTCAAAACTTTTGGGGTGTGTTTGGATTGGGTATTAAGATGGATTGGATTAGACAGTTACATCCATTCCATAACCATCCAGCTAGAAAAGAAAAACAAATTTAAAACTTATCTTTTTTAATATATGTTTGGTTCAGGTATTAAGAAGTAGTGAACTCCACATTTACCTCATCCAATATTTTGTTTGGATAGAGTATTTAATAATGTATAAATAATAAATTAAGAAAGAACTCGTACAATAAAAAGTAATACATTTACCTCATCCCAACTGAATTATTCAAACCTATTAAATAAGTGGGTTTATTTAAAAAGGTGTATGTGGCTATAAATCACTATTCATCCAGGCCTTGGCTTATTTATAGGTAATAATACCGGGTCAAAAATAAGTGTTCAAACATAAGTGTAAGTTGAATAAGGTGGCCAGACATTATTTTTTTCAATCCTTTTTTGTTAATATGTAAAATAAAACACACCCTTTTTTAGTACAACTTCATTGCCACACGTTGTATACTCCACCTCATACACAAGGGTGATTTTTTTGAGTTCGACGGGGTCACAAAACTGCACACAAGTTTTGTGGCTAACTTTTTATTGAGACCCGCCACATGCATTATGGTATCCCTTTATACATTTTAAAGAATAATAAAGTTCAATTTCATATAGATGAATGGGATGAGAGTTGTTATAAGTATAGTATATGGGGATCGAATTTACTTCTTCAATGCTTTATTTGAATCACATAACATCGTCTATATGGAAATTAAGCTTGCAGTTTGGGTTGTTCAACCTCAACCCATTCTCGAAATATGCTGACAAACATTTTTTATACTCAAGTTGAGCTTGAATAAAAACTCCAAACATTTATTTAAGAGTATTAAGCTTATTTCAATCTCAAAATTGAACTTGTATTTCGTACCTATTTTTATAACTTGAGTTCAAAATTTTAAGAAGAGATGGCACCCAGGTTTTAAGTTGAAACTGAGTTGAGAATTTTTTTTTTTTTTCTTTTTTTTGAGTTCGAGTTCTCCTCTTTAACCTGTCTAACTTGTTTGTCTCTCTTATAGGAAAAAAAAAAGTTGAATATGGTCGGATTTGGTTTGCTGGTGTAGACATTATTGTAGAACATGGAAGAGTGGTGGCCATGCTGGTTCAGAAACATGTAGAGAAGTCACTGTCTTATTTCTATATATATATGCAGTTTGCTGGGAATGATGAAACCATTTTGTGGATTAGTAGAAAGTGATCATTCAAAGTTGCGTTTTCTTAACTCGTGAAAGGGAAAAAGGATGGGCTCTCTTTACCTCCCATGTTTTACTCCTGCACGCCTGCTGCATCTCTCTCTCTCTTCCAAATGCTCAATTTTTGTTTAAGTAATTGATTCTAAAAACCCAAAGTGTTAGAATTCTCATTGCGAAACTCTTCTCCATCGACAATATGCAGGATTCAAAGCTCTCCTTTACATCCCATATTGGTAATTCTAAAAAATATTAATAATTACATTCCTTATAAAACTATCAGGTAGATAATATATAATTTAAAGCGCAAGAAGTCGGCATATGGATTAATAAAAAAAATTAGTGTGATGTAAATATTTGTCAAGACTCAATAGATTTTAGGGAAAAACATAATACCTATTAGTAAGTTTTCCTTAACAAAAAGATATTTTATGAACATAGAATTAAACTAGAAGGGGATTTGGTTTATTTTTCAAAACTACTCATATACTCTTGTTAATTGATATTATTATTTTCTATCTTGTTGCTAAAAATAAAAAGAAATGTGACTGTGGATTAAAGAGTAATTTTGACATGCCCCAAAAATATGACATTGGGATACGAGGGCCTTGTTCTTTTAGCCCTAAATTGCCATGAAGGGCCACTTTACCGTACACATTGGCCTGACACAATTTAATGCTGTTGAGAGGCAAAAGAGCATCGAAATTTGGACACTTTTTTCTACTTTATCAACTCACTTCATATTTACATTAGAAAATACAATATTTATCAAATTCTCTTATCACATTAATCTCTATTAAAAGGGTATGCCCTTCCAAAAAAAAAAATATTAAGACAAATTTGGAGGCCGGTCTTACTTTATGGATTTGTTTTTGTTTGAGTTTAAGTTTGTCAAAGAAATTTATTTGTTATGAAGTCTATTTTTTGTCAATTTTACCATACTATCTCTTCCCTTTAGAAGTGAAATAAAATTAAAAATTAAAAACTCTTAAATCTTAAAAATTTAACTAACATTAAAATATTTTATCTCATGTCTATCTATATCTATATATAGGTTAAGAGTTTGATTAACATTAAAATTTTTCCTCTTATATATATAGTAATATTAAAAAAAATAGTAATATTCAAATACAAAAAAAATATATTATTTGAACACAAAAAATAATACATTTAAACATAAAAAAAATTGAAACATTCAATATTAATATTTTTAAAAAATAACAAGAATAACATGTTCAACAGAAATATTAATATGTTCAACAAAAATAGTAACATGTTTAACAAAAACTATAATATACTTAATAATAATTATTTCTCTCAAATTCAAATTCAAACGCAAAACATAGTATCATTCAAATATAAAAAATAGTAATATTCAAAAAAAAAAAATAGTAACATTGAATGTTAATATTTAGGAAAATAATAGTACCTGAACAGTAACGTACTTA